TTGAAGTCCACACATCTTAAAGCTGCCAAGCTTGAGAAACACTGGTTTAAAGGGTAGATTGTATATCCTATAGACAGGCAAGTCTTCTGCTTGGCCGGCACCATTAGCTGAGAGGTCATATTTCAGTAAACAAAACACGAGCTGCCAAGCTTGCAAATCATAGTTGATCCTCTATGGACAGAGGAGATCATTTAGGCTTATCACCTCTGGGAAGCTGTGTCTGCAGCTTGATTTATCTAAGGTGGGAGTCAGAAAAAGGAAACAACTTTTATTTTAAGTCATGCTTAAATGTTCTTGGTCCATTTGCATGTCAGCCTACCACACCAGGCAGCAGTGGCCCCCAACTAATAATGAGCAACTAATAATGGCCCCCAACTAATAATTTTTGTGCTAATATTACATATAAATGACGTATGCATAATCATGGTACATGGGAAAATTTGCACAAATAAAGGCTTTCTACATTACTTACGGACTATAATTGAGAGTGGAGGCTGGAACTATGATAAATGTTGAGTGGAATGAAACAGGTGGTTAGATCAATTCTTCTTCAGCATGTAAGTGCAGTCTTCCCTTCTGAAATATCCTATTTTTAAGGCCCTGCAAATAGAAAACTAGCACATCAGGAAATGTTTGTCATGCTAGTTTTCTACTTGCAAGGAGTTCTTAAGTGCAAGAGGGATATTTTTTACTGTGATCCTTTACATCTGGACTGGAACAACATAGCAATTATTTTTCCTTTTGCATTATTCCTTGCATATCTGGTTTGACTCTTCAGTGCTAGTATATTGTTGATATCTTCAAAGTTTCATGCGGCTGCTCTCTGAAGCTGAAGAATCTGGAAAGGAAATGAGGTCAGCCCTTAACAGCTTAACTTGCAAGTTTTGGCATTCTAGAGAGTGCCTCAAAAACATCACATCACATTTGTTTGGGAACGAGGCCAAAATTATTCAATTATTTCTCTAATATTACTGAGGCTGTGTTGGTCAGAGTAACAATTCTTGTGTTAAGCCAGTCTTATAGTTGCTACAACAAGAAATCATTCAACAAACAGACAATACAATAACATTGGTCCATATCATAAAAAATGTAGTCCAACATTTTGGTTTGGTAATGTGTAACTATAATAAGATTAAGTACAGTACAGGTAGTCCTCGTTTAGCGACTGTCTTGTACAGTGACTGCAGTTACAACAGTGACGAAAAAGTAACTTTATGACCCTTAGGGTTTTTTTTTTTTAAGAACCTTTATCCCTTTATTATTTTTATAAATAACATAAAGATTAACAACCTTTGCAGGTGTGTAAAGCAAAGGAAAGCTGAAGGAAGATGAGAAGCCCAGTCACGGTTTCACTTAGTGACCAAGTTGCGGGTCCCAATTGTGATTGCTAAATGAGAATGACCTGTGCTACCAAATTTGTGCAGACTTTGGCATTCAGATACCAGCTGTCCTTCTGAAAGCAATTCCAAATCATCATCTTCGGTGACGTTTTGATTGCATAAGATTGCCCGTGAATGATCAGGAGTTGCAGAAAATGGGTCTCTCTTATATGAAATGAGTTGATTCAACTGCTTTAAAAGCCTTCTCTGTTCTCTTTCGGAGCAGGCTCAGAGTCCTTGCCTCCCTTGCTGTGGCGGAGTTGATGTCCATTTTGCTGGTGTGATCGATTGTTTTAAGCAGACGGTAAAAAACAAGGGAGTCCTCGCCCTCTGGAATGGACTTACTGCTAATTTACTCAGGGTAAGTATTGCAGCCCTTCCTGGTCAATACCACTGGAAAGTAATCCCGCTGTTCCTACTCTTGTCATTTACTTTTTCTCTGCCCAGGTTTCATCATGTCGTTCTTAAATCTAGGATTTTTTTAATCCTTTGCCGCAGCCGAGTTCGCACAATACACAGTATATTAAGGACCATCTGGATTCTTTGACTATGGGCCAAATCACTGATTACAGTGCATAAACTCTGATTTATGGGTGGATCTGCTGCAGTCCTAATCTGTATTATGCTACCTCCATCTTTTCCCCTAAACCAGGGTTCCCCAAAGTGGTCAATAGTGACCCCCAAGGCTCAGTGGGACTGTCCAATGGGTCGATCTGGGGGTCTTCATAACACTGTTAGTTAAAGTAGTATTTACTAAATTATTTTCATGTTGCGGGGGTCGATGAACAATATGAAATTTCTTGAAGGGGTCAATGAGCTGAAGAATTTGGGGACCCTTGCCCTAAAACCTTTATGTGTGCTTATTTATTGTTTAACTTCCATGAACAACGCCTGACCCTAAATCTGAATCGTTTGTGGGCTGTTGAAAGTATCAATATTTTTCTTTTCTTTTTTAATGACATTTTGTGCAGGTTATTTTTATAATGCTGAACACCTTACTTCTTAAAGTTCAAGATGGCTTTCAAGGCTTCTCTTAATCATAAATGTCTTATATTTAATTATAATTTATTAAATTTGTACGCCACTTGACTCCCAGCAATTCTGGGTGATTATCTTGTTTTCAGTTTTCCTTTTTTATGGAAATACAAGATTGTTATACAGCTTGACAAAAGAGGCCATTTTTTGCAACAGTATCACAGTATATACTCTTCTTTTAAAATGTTTAGAGAGACACAGCAGAAACAAAATATCTTTTGAAAAAAAATACAGTAAGCAAGTGTACAAGCCCCATCAGTTAAAAGTGTATTATAACAAATTAAAATTTGTCATCACTGCATGGTTACTTCTGAGTAGACCCCTGGGTTTTTACCTTGTAGAAGCAGTTCCCCTCCAATTAATGAAATAAAATATTAATTGCGTGATCTACCTTTCAAAGATGGCAGCACTTTCTCAGAGCAGCATCCTAGGGGTAAAATTGTCTCTAGCAAGATTTAAGTTTTAAGGTCATTTTAGCTTTTGTGTTTATTTACCCAGATTGTCCCTTACTTTGGGATTATGTTCAGCACTTTTGAATTCTCCAAGCGGGTCTGCCTGTACCAGAACGGCTACACTGATTCCCCTTTGCGCTACGAACTTACGCCAGGCGTAGACCAGAGTTTACAGCCTCAGGAACTGCAAGACTTAAGGCTCCTTGGAAGAAGAAACGTCTAAGCCTCTGGATGCTTTTTTTGGACCAGCTTCCCAGCAGCTCCATTACAAAAGAGGCGCTGAGATTCACAGCCACCCACCTTGGCTTCGGCGGGAGAGCTGCTGAAGGCCCCAAACTCACCATCACGGGACATATTGTCCTTGTTCAAGACAGCCTGCACAACTGGACAGCCTCCCAAGCTGATGACATCCATCCGCTCTCGCTTGTTGCCAATTATTGAACTATTATCTAGCTATTGGTTAGAACGGTATGGCCGTTAGCCTGTGAACCCTGAAAGCACCACTCATTTTCCAGCACCGCCTGAATCGCTGCAGCGGAGTAAGGAAAGTCAGACCAGCGATGCGAGAAACCGTGGTTTGTCACAGGATCATTGCAAAGGAGCAGGACAAGAGGGCCAGCGCAAGACAATCTCATATACAGAAGACCGGAATCTCGACAGGGACTTTCTTTGGCATACGTCTGCCCTGCTAGAAGTGGAATCGTGTATGTGAGCAGGATGTTGCTAAAGAGGGATCTTTCTCCGCATCAAAATTCCTTAGCCATAGAAAGCTGGCTGATGGAGACTAGATTAGGGATGTCCCTGACATGCTCACTTTCCATAGGCAGGAATTTTAACAGGATGCTTGAACTTTTAATTATGCAAAACAGCCACCCCCCGCCTTAGATTCTGAAGTGGAACAGTCTGAGGAGGACTGTAGTATGTGCTGTTTGGATTCTGCCCGAGAGTCTTCCAGAGAACTGAGGTCTTAGGTCTCCTTCTGGATCCCAGAAAGGCAGCAGCCCACATTAAATGACCAACGTAGAGGAAAATTCCCTCTCCCTCCAAATCTTGGAATATAATGTGCCAGCGTGGGGAAGCGTGGTTCTTTCTCTTCCTTGTTATTCTAGATATGAGCCTATAGCTGTAAGGCTGTCAACAGTCGCTCTAAAATTCCTTGCAATATCGGGTTTGGTTTGGTTTCCTTGCTGCATACTTGATACTGAACTTATTAAACAGGAGGACAAATGAGAGTTGCTTAAAAGATGTGTCTTATGGTCAGGTGGCCTGCGCATATTAATTAATACATTGTACGATTCTCCCACTGCCTCAATCCTAGTGGACCATGGGCAGCTTACAGATAATAAAATCACAGCAATAAATAATGCATGATCTTTCATCATGGAAATGACAAACGTAAGGAATATATATAGGTGAATTATGCAATTGCCTTGGGCCAGGTTTTTCAAACTGAGCCTGATGGAGGTTCAGTCTTGAGAGACTCAGGGCAAAAGCAAAGAAAATAATCACTCAAATGTAGCAAGGAGCATCAATATCAATTTTTCTAAGGTACTCTCAGCCCTAGGAAGAAGGCACTGGCAAGTCACTCTGTTTGTTTATTCTATTTGTATAGCTGCCCATCTCAAACCACTGAGACTGGGTGGCGAATAATCCTAAAAATCAAAAACAATCATAAAAAAGAGTCGCTTTTAAACAAGATGGGCGGTGACAAATTTGATATATACATAAATAAATAAGAGCAGTTAAAACACAGTACAAAAAAGACATTAAATCCGAACAGCAGCCAAGAGATATTATAATCCATCGGCATCAACCTAGCCAGGAAATGGGGCCCTTAACGCACTCAGGGCCCCAGGCCAGGGCACATAGCCAGGTCTTCAAGGCCTTCCGAAAGGCTAGCAGGATCCAGGCCATCCTGATCTGAGGAGGGAGGATGTTCCAAGGGGCAGGCGCTGTGGCAGAAAAGGCATATCTGGTCCCTGCCAGCTGACATTCCTTGGCTGATGGGAACCGGAATAGGTTCCATGGCCTGATCCTGTTTGAAAAGCCCTAGCTAGGGTGTCCATTAAGTAGGATGTGAAGTGTTGAGGAGAGGGGGGGGAAAGCAACATTTGAAAAGAACTAATTCTTTTGGTTCTGGATTACGTGGTTCACCTAAGGGTGCTAGTTGTTGACAGCTCTTGTAAGGCAGCTGCTGCTTAGGGTATTTCTCTCTCACATGAATGTCGAAGAAGTCAGATACAAGCTGACCTGCTTTTGTCTGGATCTTGTAGACCCAAGGAAAGTAAGATATTTTTGGCCGGGGGGGGGAGGAAATCTTACCGTTACAAACTCTCTCAGCCAGGGCTGGGGCCAGAGGGCAGAAGGGATGCCTGCCTAGATCCCAAGATCTTTAGGAGATCCACCGCGCTAAGGGCAGTGCCATCATTCCCATTAAAAGGCCAGATGCTGTCCAAGATTTCTCCATTTCTGTCACCTCTTCCAGGTCAGGATGGGGGATGAGGACATACCACATCCCAGCACGTCCACATCCTAGGAAATGTATCCAATACATCCACCGTGTGAGACTGAAACACTGTTGGGGCGCTTTGTTGAGATCAACATGGTTTGTTTGTGGATCACTAAGCATGAACCCTCGCAGGCCAGAAAGGAAACAGTCCAATGGTAATAGACGTGGCAGTACAGTATGGAGCGTCGGTCTCCTGCCTGCTCCCCCCCCTTCAAAGCATAAGGACACAGCTGCATTTGGGCCAGGGGCTGCAAAAAAACCAAGACCTGCAAGGCCAGGTAATGGTGGCTCATCCACAAACCGGGATTAAGCCAACCACGTCTTAGCCAAGGGGAAGTCAGACCTGGGTTTTATTTATTGCTTTAAGCTGGCCGGAGTTG